CCGCCGCCCGGAGCGCCGCCATCTTGCCTGCTTCGCAGCAGGCTCGCCTGTGACACCGCCCCCGCGCGGCACGTGACCGCCCCCGGCCGCGCTCCCCCCTCCCCCGGGGAATTAACCGCTTGCTGCCCGGGGGGTATTTGGCGCGCGCTCTCGCGGCGCAGCGAGGACTCTCGCGCGGGCCGAAGCGGCTGACCTCGGGAGGTTTGCACGAGGGAGGCCTTAAACATGCCCCGGAGAAGCCGCGGTCGCCTCGGCACGCGCCACGAGAGGAAGAAGAAGAAGGCGAAGCGACCTGGAAAAGCCCCTTCGGGACGCGACTGACGCCTCGGAGATCTGGGCTCAGGCTCACAGGACCAAGCCAAGGAAAAAAGCACGAATGCGAGCGTGCTGCTTTACACGTGCTCTGAAGCCTGCGGGCCTTTCGCAGCCGGTCTCCTGCCTTATATTCCGGTGGCAGAGAGCATATTTTTAAACGTGGAAGTTCTTAGCACTTCTGCACATGTGCAAAGTGCTCCCGTGCTCCCCCCGCCCGATCCCAGTATCGTGTGGTATGGGACAGGAGTTGCCAGCAAGGTCTGTTGCTGGAAACCTTGGCAACACTTTCCCCTCCGTTCTTGAATTGTGTACAGCTGTGCGTGCATTTTCTCCACTATCATTCAATGAGTCCGAGAGCGCAGGTCCCTGCCCCCAAGGAGCTTCCAATCTAAAATTGGGCAGACGGGGACAGGTTTTGCGCAGTGCTTGGAACGCGGCAGCGCAAACCGTTCAAAGAGCCAATTAAAAAAGAGAGCCCAAATGCACGCGGAGGACGGGCCAATCACACGGCGCCGTCTTGCTGCTCGCGGCGCGGCGCGCTTGCTGGCCTCCTATTGGCCGCTGCGGCGAATGCGGGCCCTGCCACATGCCGCATGGCCGCTCCAGCCTGCCTTTCCCGCGCATCCAGGCAACAGCGTGAGACTCCTCGCCCTTCCTTGAAGCCCTCACGCCGGCCCTCGGGGCTGCCGGAGCCTTCTGCCAGTCTGAGAGGGTCAAAGGACGACGCCTTCCCGCCACTGCTTCCTCGCCAGTCGTGCTTCTCGGCGACCTCGTGGGTGGGCGACATTATGGAGCGGCGGTTTGAAAAGCGCCCCGAATCCGGGCTGCTTTTGAGGAGCGTTTTCCAGTCAGGCATCCGGCAGGGCAGCCCATAAGCGTGGCGTGCGAGGGGGCCTTCGCGGTGTGGGCGGGGCTTAGCTGCGGGGGAAGGCAGAGCGGCGCCCGAGCAAGATGGCGGCGGATGGCGGAGCGGCGGCCGTGGCTGAGGAGGAACTGCGCGAAGCGGAAGCCTCGGAGGACGAAGGCGAAGAGGGCGGCGGCGGCGGCGGGGAGTCGGAGTCCGAGGAGTCTTCCGGGGACGGCGAGGATGAGGAGAAGGAGAACGAGGCCGAGATCCAGCGCCTGGAGGAGCAGGTGAGGCCTGGGCGGGGCTTCGGCCGCGCCCCGCCCCTCGCCGTTGGGGCGCGCGACCCCCCGCGATCCCGGCGCCGGGGAGCCCCGAGCTCCCGCCAGGCCCGCCGGCCGCGGCTCGGGGGGCGCGGGCCGGGCCGGGCCGGCGTGGGGCCGGTCTGCCCGATGCGGGTCCGTCCCATGCGGTCTCTGCGGTCCGCGGCTTGAACTCCCCGCGAGGCTGCTTTTGCTTGGAAGACCCCTCCGTGGCACCGCGGGGGGGGGCTCTCGCGGGCACACGTTGAGCATCCTGCCTTGTTTGCCATTTCTCGTTCCGAGCCAGACTGCTAAAGTTTTGCGGCTGGAGGTAGCAAAGGCTTGGCGGCTGGGGCGGGGAGGGGGGGAGGAGAAGTGTGTTTTTAAAAAGAAAATGTGCTAGCCAGTTTCAACAGCCCTCCCGCTAAAAGACTGTGCCGGAAGGAGCCATTAAAATATCCCGGTTCTTCCATTCTTCCACGTTTTTTGGTTTTGTGAGTCTTTCAGTTGTGTGAATAAGTGCCAGCTACGCTTCCGGTGAGAGGTAACAAACGCTGTTTTGTTGTCATCTTTAAGCTGTCCATCAATGCCTTTGACTACAACTGTCATCTGGATCTGATAAAATTGTTACACCAGGAAGGGGAACTAATAAAACTCCGAAGAGCCCGTCAGAAGATGAGCGAGCTCTTTCCCCTCACTGAAGGTAGGCATAATGAGTGTCTTTGGTTCTTCCTGAAAGTCATCCCTTGATTTGCAGTGTTCACTTATGAAAATATATTCGCGTATGAGTAGGGGGCAGCTTTCAGTTTGAGAATGTACCATATTGACATGTGGTGAAGTGCTTCCTCCTATAGTTACCATTCCTGTGCTTTGCAGAGATCTGGCTAGACTGGCTGAGAGATGAGATTCGGATGGCTTCAGAAAACTCAGATCGGGAAAAGATCTACGATCTCTTTGAACGAGCTGTGAAAGATTATATCTGTAAGTTGGCTTATTTGGTTTTTTCTACAGCCCTTCATGGGGGATGAAATGTCATAAAATTGGGATAAAATGTCGTAAGGTTGCGTTAAATTGGTTTTGATGAAGAAACAGCAGCCGGACCTTTTTGGACAATATTGGCACTTTTTCCAGCTCAAAGACTGTGAATCAGCAGGATACACTTTTCAGAATGAAGCACTTTGAATTTTAAGTCAGGCTGGTCTGACGCGCAGGCTGCTGCAGAGCATTCTGAAGTTTGCATCTTTGCTTGCCTCTGCCCTGTGCCATGTTGGAGAGCTTCCTGAGGAAAGAAGAAATCCAAGTTGTACAAGGATGGGAGGTGAATGACAGGAGCAGGGGACGTGCAGGTCAGCTGCAGGAGTGCCTGCTCTTTTCCTTTGCTCTTCCCTCGCCTGTTGCGGAACAGTAACAGGCTTGACCCTCAGTATCCCTTTGTGCTGGATATAGAATTTCTACTCTTTCCACCTCTACTTTTGCTTGTGTTTGAGTGTGGAAATCTGGAAAGTTCATCCTTGGCAGATTGCTAGCTTGCCCTTCAGATAAACAGTATTCAGAGGGCTTGCACAGTATTCAGTTGAATAATAGTCCAGTAGGCAAGATTTCAGAAAAGGCAGATGTAAGCAACTTAAAAACCAAACAATGCAGCGTTTAAAAGTTCTTAACGACAGTTGTTCTTCTGGGAGCACTGGCAGGCTCAGAAGCTCGCCAGGGTCGCTTTCCCTAGTGCTTTGTAGAACTGAATGTCAGCATTCTGGCGCTTTCTCCGAGGTCCTGAGATATGGCTGGAGTATGCCCAGTACTCGATCGGGGGCATTGGCCAGGAGGGGGGCATAGAGAGAGTTCGTTCCATATTCGAGAGAGCCCTGACGGCGGTCGGCCTCCACGTGACAAAAGGAGCGGCCATTTGGGAGGCCTATCGGGAGTTTGAGAACGCCATCTTGGCGACGGTGCAGGTAACGCCCTCGCCGGCCCGGTTGGCCCTTGCGCTGGCGCTGCATTCTCGGGGACGAGTTACCTGGACACGGGGCAGTGGGGTAGGGCGGAGATTCTGTCCTGCGAGCTGGAAGTTGGGCGGGCCGGGGGGGGGGGGGGCTGCGATGGCCGGGGGGGGGGGCCTTTCCCCGACCCCGGCGTGCATCCAGAGAGGACGGGTTAGCCGGGCCCTGGGTGCCGGAGGGGGGCGGCCAGGGTCCACTCCTGGCTCTCGCTGGCCGGTCGAGGGTGTCGCCGCCCTTGCCGGCCAGGGGCCCCGGCTGCAACTGCACTGCTGACCCGGGCAGCTTGTGCGCGTGGCTCTCGCCCGTGGCTGAGGTTGGTGCTTGGGGCCTTCATCTTGCCGGTTCCCACTGCATCGGTCCGCCTGGCTGACGCCCCTGCCGCTCTCTCCCGCCTCCAGCCGGCGGCCGGCAGCATCGCCTCCCCTGACCAGCAGCAGACCAGCAGCGCCCGGCTGGAAAAGATCCACTCGCTGTTCCGGCGCCAGTTGGGGATTCCGCTGTTAGGTAGGGCTGGCAAGCGCGTGGCGGGGGCAGCCGGGCGGGCAGCATCTGCCTGGTGTGTCTGAGCGGGCGGGCTTGGCTTTGGAGAGGGAGGCCAGCTCCTGGCACTGACGCTGGGGTCCGCCGTGGTTTTCCACCCCAAGATATGGAAGCTGCTTATGCAGAATACGAGGAGTGGTCTGAGCAGCCCATCCCAGAAGCGGCGGTCAAAAGCTACCGGAAGGCTCTGCAGCAGCTGGAGAAGTGCAAGCCCTACGAGGAGGCCCTGGTGAGTCGCTGCTTTGCCCCTTGTGTGCTTTGTCCCTGGAGGCGTTAATCTTTGATGAAGTCTGAGGTGTTGGTGCTGCTCAGGTTGGTCGACCGTTTTCTCCCATCTCTGTCAGTGGGCTTCTGGCTACTCTTTGCTGCTTTAACGCGCTAGCGGTGTGAAATAGAGAAATGAAAGAAAAGAAATAAAGGCCTTTTCTTTGCTTTACGCCATTAAAAAATGAGGCTTCTTGCATCCCGAGGAAGGCCCAGCTGGCGACCCCCAGGCGCAGGGGCCCAGTTCCTCAGGGGCTCCTTCATGCTGAGCCGTACTTTCCTTATGTTTCGAAGGCGACATGAAACCCCCCATGTTTCCACACGGGTGCCTTTCTGCCTGCCTGAAACAGTCTCCTTCCTCCCCCGCTTCTGTTCCAGCTAGTCGCTGAGACGCCAAAGCTGGCCGAATACCAAGCCTACATAGACTTTGAGACGAAGGCGGGGGACCCAGCCCGCGTGCAGCTGACATACGAGCGCGCCTTGGCGGAGAACTGCCTCGTGCCCGACCTGTGGGCGCGCTACACTCAGTACCTGGTGAGGAGCCCCGGCAGGGCCTCCCGGGCGGCTCCTTCGTTGCTCACTGGCGGCAGAGCCTGCCGTGCGTTTTAACCAGGACCGCGTGGAATTCTTGCAGGACCGGCAACTGAGAGTGAAGGAGGTGGTGCTCTCTGCGCACGAGCGAGCCGTCCGGAATTGCCCTTGGACCGTCCGACTGTGGAACCAGTATCTCCTGGCCATGGAGAGGCACCAGGTGGAGCATCAGCTGGTTTCTGGTAAGGCCCGGCGGCTCACGCGGTATGAGGCCATCCTTTGCGCTCTCGCTGAGGAGTATCGGATGGACGTGCAGGGGCGGCTTGCAGAATGCCTCCGTCCGCTTTGTCTGAGCCCCGTTTTTCCCGCTTCTCTTCCACCCCGTAGCCAAAGCCCTCTGGGTGGCTTTCACAGTGTGTAGAGCAGACAATGAAAGGACAATAAAATGTAATAGAAGCAGAAACACGTCAGAAGTTTAAAACAGTTAAGGAACAGAATAACCACGTTGTGAAGGATGCGTTGGCTGCTCCTTGATCCCCCCCTTGTCTGGACAGCCATGCTGTGGGTTGACTTGCCCTCAAGGGCCATGGGGCTTGTGTCCGCCGTCGCAGGTGTTTAGTGCCTGGCTGGTTGTGCTGTCTGAACCCAGCCTGGGAGGGTTGGTCAACCGGTGAATGGTGCTCGCTAGCTGAGCTGGGGGGACCGACGAGCCCCGGCGAGTGACAGCTGCCCCACGGGGACGGGAGGCGGTATGTGGGAAGGCTCAGGGCTTTGCTCTTCTCGAATTTGCGACCCCGAGCATCCTTCACAGCCCGCTACTAGTGGGTGTGGGGGCCTTGCGGAGAGCCGTGTCCCACGGCTGGCTTTCCTTTGTCTGTGCTAGAAACCTTTGAAAAGGCTTTGAACGCCGGCTTCATTCAGGCCACAGACTACGTGGAAATCTGGCAGGGGTACTTGGATTACTTGCGGAGAAGAGTGGATTTTACGCAAGGTAATTGTGCATGTTCGGGAGTCTGGATTCTGCTTAGCATCTCCTTTTCGACAGCGTTGCTCTCCAAAGCTGAGCTCTCCTCTCCGAAGCAGCCCCCACGATCTGAGATGCACCCGCTCTTCCATGCATGCAAGGAGCTAGTCTGTTGGGGTTGTACCAATATGTAACGCGGGGGGGCGGGCTCAGAAGCTGCCAAGTTCCTGGCCAGCCCTGCCTTGGTCCACTAGCCCAGGGCTGGTGGCACAGACTGGCAGCAGCTGCTCTCCCGGCCCTCCTCCCTAGCCCTGCCTGGGCATGACAGAGATCGAAACATGGCCTTCTGCCTGCCAAGTGGCCCTCTGCCCACCCTGACCCCTGACCCCTGCTTGTGAACACGAGGCCCATGCATGGGACCCCCAGGTAATGCAGGGGAACAAGGGGAGCGGGCAAGTCCGGCTCCCTGCTGTCTTTCAGTAACCTCCTCCGCATCCTTTTCTGTTGCTGTGGGGCTGGTTCCCAAAGGCAGATGCTTCTGTGGCTGCCCTCATGGACCAGGCTTCCCCAGGCTGCTGCCTGCCAGCTCTGTTGGCCAACGGCGAAGAGAGCTGTGGCACAGCACATCTGCGGGACCCCGGGTTTGGGGAAGGCAGCACCGGGGCTCCCTCTTGGCCTCTTCTGAGATGTGGCTTCCTGTGGGGTTCCTGTGACTGCAGGAGGAAGCTCGGGAGGGAAGCGCTGTCTTGGAGGGGGTGCTTTCCTTTCACTTGCTTTTTTCCCCCAGACTCGAGTAAAGAGCTGGAAGAACTTCGCTCTGCCTTCGCCCATGCAGTGGAGTACTTAAAGCAAGAAGTGGAAGAGCGTAGGTTGCGGGGTCTGTCTGCAAGGAGCCGGGAGGCGTGCCTTTTTCCCTAGCTGTGGTTGCCGGCACGGTTTCAGCTGCAGAACCGCCTGCTGACCGTTCGGGGGCCTGAGGCTCTTGGCCAGCTGTCCTCCGCTGGACGCCCTCCTCGTGGCCTTCCCTCCAATGCCAGTCAGCCCAGGGCACGCAGACCGGTGTCCCGGCTGTGTACGGGGGCTGCGACGGAGGGGGAGGCCTGCGTTTGGTTCCCCTGGCCAGGGCGCAGTGGTGGAGGCGACCCCCCCGGCCCCTGTGTGGGGCATGGAAAACCTGGCCGCCCGTGAGCATGGGGGGCGCTCCTGCAGCGGGCAGGCAGTCCTGTGGAGGAGCAGGCAGCCTGCCCCCAGAGGAGCCTTCCCCAGCCTGGCGCCTTCCGGATGTCTCCGGGTGGCAGCTCCTTTCCAGACCAGCCAGCACAAAGACTGTTACAAAGCGCCCCCCCCCCGTCCAAAGGCGGAGATGAGGTCACATGGCTGCAGGCCTGAGGCCTGCCACTTCCGCCTCCCCTGGAGTAACTGGTGCCCCCTTCGGAAATTGCTGAATTACCCGGGTGGTGCTGTACCTTTACGCTCCCCCCATGCCTCCTGCCCACTTGAGGTGCTGACTGGGGACCGTGGCACCTGGTTTATGTATTTCTGTGCCCCGCCCCAGCCAGGAAGGCTCCCACAGCAGCTTTCCATGTAGTCAGTGAAGAGAATCCCACTGCTGGTTTGCAGCCTGAAAAGTCGCATCACACACGGAAAGAGTGGGGAGAGGGCGGGCAGCGTGCTCTCCCCTTGCCTCCTGCAGCTGAGCCTGCTGGAGGGGGCTGTGGGTGGGGGCAGCCTCTGTCGGAGACCCTTGGCTGCTCCGTAGAGACTTGGCCGGGACCTCTCTGTTTGCCTCTGCCTGCAGGGTTTAGCGAGAGCGGGGACCCTTCATGCACCATAATGCAGACCTGGGCAAGGATCGAGGTAAGGGGCTCACCGCACGCCTGAGCTTCAGCAATTCCACTCTCGGGGGAGGAGGGTGAGCGAGAGGACACGCCTCCTTAGGGTGGTCCGGGCCCTGCCTGAGTGTCGGCCTCCTGCTCCTTAGGCGCGGCTGTGTAACAACATGCAGAAGGCGCGAGAACTCTGGGATAACATCCTGACCAAAGGGAACGCCAAGTATGCCAACATGTGGCTGGAGTATTACAACCTGGAGCGGTAAGAGGCCTGGCGCTGCCCTGCCGGACTCTGCCGTGCCGCTGCCCCGCCGGCGCAGGCCCCTGGCTGGCTGGCTGGCTTCTCAGTGGCTCTGACTGCCTTCAGCTGAACGGGGAAGATGGTTCCACTCCCCTTACTTGGCGCAGAGCTAAAAGCTGTGCAAGCCCCTTTTAATGGTAATGGGTTTAAAAGGAGGCGGAGATTATGACTCCAGGGCTTCCCCTCAAAACTGGCCCCGTGTGAGCCTGGCATTTCTCCTGTCAAGCCACCATTCAGTCCCAAGGGCCACCTCTTGTGGAGGGATCGCCGAACAGCCTCCCCACCTCCTCGTATTACCGGTCTGCCCCCCCCGCCCCGCCCTGTGCCTCTCGGTCAAAAGTGCCTCAGTGCGCTCGTGCCACGGCGTGGCGCCCCCAGCGACCCCTCGAGGGCTGCCCGGGGCCAGAGGCGGAGGTGCCCGCTTGCGGTGCGTGACCCGCTTCCCTCGCTGTCTTGCAGGGCACATGGCGACACGCAGCACTGCAGGAAGGCCCTGCACCGGGCGGTGCAGTGCACGAGCGACTACCCGGAGCACGTCTGCGAGGTGCTGCTCACGCTGGAGCGGGTGGAAGGCGAGTGCCGTTGGCCGCCCGGCTGCCCGGGTGCCGAGGGCCTGCCGGGCTCAGTGAGGGCGGCAGCCCGGGATGTTCCTGGAATGGGAGGGCAGGGCTGAGCGCTCCTGGCCAGGGACCGGGGGACCCACAGGAGGGCTCTGGGGGAAGGGGCGGCGGGTAGCCCCCGCGGGCCCTCTGCAGGCAGGCCTGCGCTCTGGGGCCGCACAAGTCCCGCCGTCGCCCGGTTGTTCGTCAGGGCTGTGTTCTTTGGCCGCGTGGTTTTGTTTCCACTTTGGGATTATTTTATAGTGAAAAGTGGGTGAGAAGCTTGTCGCATAAATGAGGGCACACTCCTGAGCAGGGCCAGGGACAGGGTCTCCCAGCAGCCCACGACAAGCCGGCCCGGCTGCAGGAGCTCTTCACTTAAGTCAGCGCTGGGTCTCCTCCTGAATCCGCGCCGTTGGGAAGGCTCGTCGGTGACGTTCTCGCCGGGGCACGCTTGGTCCTGCGGCGCTCTCGTCGGATGGGCACCGTGGCTGGCTGACTTGCTCCGCCCTGTTTCAGGCACCCTGGAAGACTGGGATGCGGCTGTCCAGAAAACAGAGAAGCGGCTCGCTCGAGTCAATGAGCAGAGGGTGAAGGTCAGCCTGTTCTTTATTTAACAAGCATTCTTTTTGACGTGAAACACACGCTTCGGTGGCTTTTGAAAGGTGCACCTGAGTCACCTTGCGGGTGGGGGCTGTGCAGGTTCGGCCAAGCCAGCCTTCCCAGCCCGGCTTGGGATCCCGGGATCCGCCTGACCCGGTGCTGGAGGGGCACGGAGGAGGTGGGCGCCGTGGCAGGACCTCCTGTGTTGTTCTTCGTAGGCTGCGGAGAGAGAAGCAGCCCTGGCCCAAGAGGAGCAGGCGCGGGCCGAGCAGCGGAAGCAGGCGCGGGCCGAGAAGAGGGCGGCCAAGAAGTCCAAGAAGCCCAAGGCCGGAGATAAGCGCAAGGCGGACGACGACGGCGAGGGCGAGTGGGGGCAAGAAGAGGAAGGTACCGCCCCCCTTGGCGTCGGCCCCCGCTCGGCAGAGCTGCCCCGGCCCCCGCCCCCGCCTGGCCTGTGTGCAGCAGCGGCGCCCCGTGCTCCTCGTGGGTTCTGCCCTGTTGCTGGGGGAAAGGTGGCTGAGGTCGGGAGGAAGCACGGCCCAAGCGGAGAGCTCGCTCTCGGTCAGCGTGTGCGTTGCTGGGCGGGGGCGAGGCAGCATGCGCCGTGATCCCCCCGGCCCAGATCCAGAGTCTGCTTTGAGGAGTCTGTGCAGCTTTGGCCCAGGGAGCTGGAGCCCTGCCCGGTGCAGCTGGCCTGTTGCTTCGCCTCCTGTCTGCCGAAATTCCTCTCTGCCTCGGCATTTGCTGCTCTGCTTTGGCACCTCCCTGCTCCCCTCCTGTCCTCCTTTGACGGTGTGTGAGGCGATCAGTGCTTTATGGGGGAAGTAGGGGGGTCTCTGTGCAGACAGCTTCCCTTCGTACAAAGGGCTGGGATGAGCAGACTGGGACGGCCAGGTCCCTGGCAGGAATTTGCTCTTCTTTTCCCGAATGTGCGGCCGACGTTCTTGGCAAGCTTAGGTGGCACAAGGAGCACAGTAGCACCCTCCCTCTCGTGTGTCCCTGCTTAACGTTTATACTGCCAATGCCGACCGTCCGTTGGAAACCCCTCGACTGATGCGTTGTTTCTCTGACCAGCCGAACAGCCCAGCAAAAGGCACAAGGGCGGCAGTGGCGACACGCTGGCCGAGGAGGAGGAAGAGGAGGAGGAGGAGGAGGCCGAGGCCATGGAGACGGAAACCGGGCTCTTCGGAAGAAACTTGCCTAGGAAGGCAGATTCCAAGCCAAAGGAGGAGGCGGAGGCCCCCAAGTGGAAAGATGCTCCCAAAGTCGTCCACAACAGCGAGAAGGACACTGTCACGGTGTTTGTCAGCAATCTGTCCTACGGCATGGCGGAGCCGGAGGCCAAGCTGAGGGACCTCTTTGCGAACTGTGGGGAGGTCGCAGAGGTCCGCCCCGTCTTCAGCAACAAGGGGACTTTTCGGGGCTACAGCTACGTGGAGTTCAAGGATGAGAAGTCGGCCCTGCAGGCGCTCCGCCTGGATCGCAGGCAAGTGGAGGGCCGGCCCATGTTCGTCTCTCCTTGCATCGACAAGACCAAGAATCCCGATTTTAAGGTACGTTTCTGCTCCCTCGGTGGTGAGCTCCAGCAGCTTTGCCAGTTGAGAGTTGTGTGAGGAAGGAGGTCTGGGGGGCACGTCTGTTTCAGTAAACCAGGGTCCCTGTCCTTAGCCCACGTGCATCACATCAGAGGCAGACGAGCGGATGCTCCGGTTCTTAATGCATCCTCTGTAGGGGTCGATCCTCTGCAAGCACGAAGCAGGAGTCTAGGCTTTTCTCTCTCGACGGCAAAGTCGGTGTACAAAGCCAGGTGTTTACACCTGAACCTATGAAAACTGAAGCCCCGCATGGAAAGGAAATGCCAGGCTTTCTGTGCCTCATCTCCCTTCTCCGCAGGTGTTCAAGTACAGCACTGCTCTGGAGAAGCACAAGCTCTTCATCTCCGGCCTGCCGTTTTCCTGCACTAAGGAGGAGCTGGAGGAGGTGTGCAAAGTCCACGGGAACGTGAAGGACATCCGGCTGGTCACGAACCGGGCCGGCAAGCCCAAGGTACGCCCTTCCCGGCTCTGGGCCATGGCAGCCCCCCCCCCGACTCTTTCTCCAAGCGAGGCTGGGGCAGGCATGGGATGCCGCCTGCGCCCTTGCCCCAGTGCGGGGCCAGTGGGGGGCCGGGAAGCAGAGCTTGCTACACCTGCACCCCTCCCTCGCCCCTTTTAGGGCCTGGCCTACGTGGAGTTCGAAAACGAAGCCCAGGCCTCCCAAGCCGTGCTGAAGATGGACGGCCTGACCATCAAGGACCACACGATCAAGGTGGCTATCAGCAACCCGCCTGCCCGAAGGCTGCCCGAGAGGGCCGAGGCCGTGGGGAGGGCCGCTCAGCCCATGGCCCCCCGGCAGCTCTATGGCGCGTGAGTATGCGGAGCGAGTGGCGCGGGCGGGGCGGGGCGGGTTCGGGCGCGTGCCTGCGCAGGAGGCCCCCGCGTGCTCTGGGAACCTGCTGGGCACCGTGTCTGGTGGAAAGGCAGGGGAATGGGTTGGTCCAGGACCTGGCAGCACGAAGGAATCCTTCCTGAGGAAGTGTCCGCCTGGTTCTGGATGGAAGGCAAGATGTCGCCATTCTTGGTTGCTTTTGAGGGCCAGGCGAAAGCCCTGGGTTATCGAGTCCTTGCGTCCGTCGTGCGTGTTCTTAAGGCAGCGCTGGCGGTTGCAGCTCCCTGTGCTCGCTCGGGCGGATGCTGCTGTGCGTTTGGGTGCGCTTACGTTGCAGGCTTCTGAGAATGAGGCGTGAGACCTGGCCAACAAACAGTATAAGCGTGCTTGTTACAATCAGAAGCGTTGGCGTGGCTGAAGTGTGGACACATCCGTGGCTGCGCCCCATCTTCAGAAACACCTTTGCATGCTGGGCTGGAGAGGTTCGCCACACGTTCCCAAGCGCCTGCACTTTGTGCATTTCTGTTGTGCGCGAGGGGGCGCTGCGGCTTGAACTTCCAGAGCAGTGATGGCGAACCTTTTAGAGACCGAGTGCCCAAACTGCGACCCCAAACCCACTTATTTATCACAAAGTGCCAACACTACAGTACAATAAAACCTGAAAACTCAGGTTTTAGTTTAGAAAAAACAGCTCACAGCCAGTCCAAGCAAATATATATATATATCCTTGGCAGCGCACCGACTGGCCATGCGAAAGCTCGGATGAGTCGTGGCTAATGTGTCGTGGCTCGTGACATCTTTGCCTGGCACCGCCGCTCCTTTCCGAGCGTGCGCACAGCCCCTGTGTGCGCTGTTATCCGATGCTCGGCTGCTGGGGTGACTTGGCTCGTGTGCCAGCAGAGGGCTCTGCGTGCCCGCTGTGGCTTGTGTGGCGCAGGTTCGCCACCACTGCTCTAGCGTGTCTCAAGGTCTAGATGCACTGTGTGGTGGGGACAGAGGGCCCAATTTGTGTGTGAGAGCAGGAAGAGAACGATACTCAAAGCAGCCCATTTCTAGAGCTTTGCAGCTGCTCGGACCTGCGCAAGCAGTGTGAGCGGGGCTGTGGCCGGCAAGTCATGCTTCCTGGCTGGAGTCGGGCTTCCAAAACCCGCCGCCTCCCAAATTCCCATGACTGGTCGACATAGTAAAGCCACGGTTCCCTCAGGGCACATCACGCTTGCTTTCAAAGGCCCCAGCGCGCAAGCTCCTGACGCAGCCCCTCTCGTGTCGTGTTCTTTCCACAGCCGGGGCAAGGGGCGCACCCAGCTCTCGATGGTCCCCCGAGCGTTGCAGCGCCAGAGCAACTTGGGGGCCAAGGCGGAGAACGGCATGGCCCGGGACACCCCGCCCGCCGCTGCCTCTCCGTCCTCGGAGGAGCCCAAGAAGATGTCCAATGCAGACTTTGCCAGGCTGCTCCTGAACAAGTGACCGGTGCGGGTGCGTGTGTGGGGGGTGCTCAGCGTGCGCAGTGCTGCCTCGGACGCCAGGAGCGGGCGCCTCCCGCCTGCTTGTTCCCCTCGCAGCTTCTGCACCCACCGAGCTGCATGGAGCCGGGGCCGGTGGATGCTGGGTTTCCCCTCCCTCCGGGAGTCAGAGGGCGAAGGTGTTGCAGTTTGGTCTGGGGATGGGCACTGGGTTGAAATGGCTTTAAACACTCCCTCATATTGAGGGGTAATGAGAGAACTCACTTTAGAGGTCGGGTCCTTTTTTTCTTTTTTTTTCCTCAAAACCTTTTTAAGAAATGAAGGTTAATGTGAAAGCGTCTTGTTCTGCTTTGTACAAATCCCCCGGCGGCACAGGTCCAGCTGGCCCCAGCGGCTTCTCCCTCACCGTGCACCGAATAGGTACAGGACACGCACCCCCTTCCCCTCCTGTTTGTGGCACCATCCGTCTCCCTCTGTATAAAGTTGTTATAAATAGCAGATGCTAGCAACCTCACTATAATGGCCTATTTTAGTACTTGGGAGCAGGGTAAGTATTTATATTGAACCCGTATTGACGATTTGCTCAAGCTCGTCTGTTTTTTATATCTATATTTGTGCATTTGTAAAGGACATGCCAGACCATGATTTTTAAGTTTGCTTTGACATGGTCCTCCCAAGAGCCACCTGTAAAAGCTTGGCTGTGCCGTTTCTGTGGACCATTTGGCACCTTGGTTTGCCAAACGCGTGTCTTTGTATCTGCTAACCTTTTTTTATTTTCTGTTTTTTGCCTCGTTCAGTGCTATTTTGGTTTTGTAAGCAGAGTGAAGTGTCAGCTGATGTTCCTCTTACGTTCATTAAAGGATAGCCCGAAAGCTGTCTTGAGCGTTGCTCGTGCTGCTAGGAGGCTGGTGGCGGTGGAAATGAGAGATCAGGGACAACAGCTGGGCTTTCCCGGCAGGAACTGAACTGCCCTTCAGCAGTCAGCAAGAATCGCGGTGGGATACCCTTTTCTTTTCCTGTGACCAGGAAAAGAGCTTGGATTTGTGGGAAGCGATTTGGAGCTGTACCCAGAATGTCCAAGTTTCTGGATAATCAGGTTTGCATAGCAGGATTTTAAGCTTATAGGAGATCAGCTTGAGGGGTTGGATGAAAACAAAGGGACTCCCAGGGTTCGGTTTTTCTTGCATATGCCCCCTAAGGAGGAAGTCTGCTTCAAAGTGGTGGTGGCGTTACTTCTAAGTGTACAAAGTCCTTAAGGTAAAGCTCTGTTCTGAAGACCCTGTTATTTAAGAAAGGACACAGTTTCTGCTTCTGGAACTCTTTTATATCAGAGTAGGAGTTCACATTCAAAAAGCACACTGTGGCAATTTGTTCCTGTTTTCTTTTAAATAGCCAAAGTGCAGCATTCTTGACCAATTTCCTAGCAAGAGCAAGCACACTTGTTCTTAGATTCCCCTTTTCCCAGGTAGCAAGTGTGGCCCGTAACTCCATTCCTGTGATGTAGGCAACACCACATGGCTTCCGATGGGCTGCTCTGAGCTCGTGTGGGGCTCCAGGCGCCTGCAGGTTCTCCCCCAGCGCAGCCATTACCGGTGCCACACACACAGGCATGGTGCGCGTGTGCCCTGCCTGACCTCGTGCCGCGTCGTTTAGTGCTCCTGCGCCTTTGGAAAGCAGTTCCCCACAAGCATTTTGGCAGGCATGACTCAGGCTTGCAATACTGTTGCCTAACAGAACTAATTCTAAGCAGGCGCCCTTGACTTTGGCACTCCTGGAGTCCTGATCTGTCCATTGATCTTGTTCAGTTTTCTAATACATACTTTGTGCAGCTCTTCCGCAATCCGCATTTCCTAGAAGGAAGACTGTGACGTGGAGCAAAGAAAGGGGAGGGGACGGTCAACCTATGCAGCTGTTCTGCTGCCTTCGAGCGCTTAACTAAGGTGCACTTGCCAACACCCAGAAGCACAGTCCCTTTCACGGCGCTCCTTGGAATTCTGGGGCAACGCTCGCTTCTCCTGCGGTTCCTTTCTTGTCAAGTGAAGTGCTAAGGCAGGATTTCTACCGAATTCTTCACAACTTACAGTCAAACAATTGTGAGAGGGGTCCCAGGCCACCCTGCTGGCTGCTCAGTGCAGGTCTTTCACAGCAGGCCCTGCCCTGCGTTGAGTCACTCAAGTTTCCCACGCAGCATCACTGTGTTGTGTGAAGACTGCTGGGTAAAAGCCAGTAGGGCCCTCGGGGTTAGTAATCGTGGCCTTTGGTCCAGGCTCAAGGCGAGATCTCTCACAGGAGTGATCATATTCGGTGCGGGGCATGGTAAGGGGGCTGAGCAGGCCCCCTGGCCAAGGGGCCAGGGTGCTGGCACATGGGAGATGCTTCAGCTTGGCAACTGACATGCGCAAACAAAGCAAGCCATGGGGATATGCAGGTTGCAGCTTGGGGCAGATTCTGGAAAGATCCCCCCCGCCCGGCTATGAAGCCTGGAAGCACCCCGTGCCGCCTGTCAGATTAGCCATATTGGAAGGTGGCGATGCATCGAGTCCTTGGCTGCGTTGCTGTGCAGCAGCCGCTCTTCCCTGTCCAGGGGTGCTGGCTGGGAAGCCCCCCGTGGGCGGACCTGCCAGCTCGGGGAGCTCTGCCTGACAGCTGCCCAGGCCTCGAGGGCCCTTTGGAGACGTGCTCCTTGCTGGCCGCAGCTCCTGCTCTTAGGACCCACCCTCCCTCCCTTGTCAGTACAAAACCAGTCAAGTTACCCAGAAATAATTTACATTTGGCTTGATGTTATGGGATAATAAATAGGTTGAAATATTACTGCAAAAAGATTTTAACTTAAAACTGTTTTAAATAAATGAAATGCCTAAAAGTGCCTCTTTCATTCCGCCCCCTTAAGATGTCTGGAAGCACAGGTGCCAAGCCGGCGGGTCCGTCCCCCCCCCCCCGTCTCCGTGTCACGTTCGGGTTTTGACGGAGATGGTCTGTTGGCACTCCACAGTGCTGCCGTGTGCTTCGGGCAAGCCCACCGAGTGCTCGGTGGTGGCGATGAGCAGCATGTCCAGGGTGGTCTCGGTGCACTTGGCGATCAGGCGGATGAACGGCCGGACGTCCCCCTCGTTGGCCACCTCCAGGGCGTGGTAGTACTCCGCCCGCTGCTCCTTGCGGATCGTGATGGGCGGGTAGCCGGCCTGCATGAGGATAAGGTTCATCAGGAGCCGGGAGGTCCTGCCGTTGCCGTCGACAAAGGGGTGTATGTAAACAAGTTTGTAGTGGGCCAAGGCCGCAAATTCAACTGGGTGGAGGCCCATGGCATCTTCCGAGTTGATCCACTGTACGAACTCGAGCACCTGCTTTTCCACGTCGCGGGGGTGGGGCGGGATGTGGTGCCCGACAAACACCTGCGTAGTCCTGAACCGCCCGGCCTCCACCGGGTCCACATAGCCCAGCACTCGCCTGTGGATCTCCAGGATGTCGCTGAGGGTCACGGACCCTATTCTGGAGACCAGCGTGGTGTTGACGTACTTCATGGCGGCGTGCATGCCGATGACCTCGTTCTGTTCCACCAGGCTCTTCCCGGGAACAGCGTACCGGGTCTCGATGATGTGCCGGATCTCAGAGAGGGTGAGCGTGTTCCCCTCGATGGCTACCGTGTGGTAGATGTGGTGGTAGTACGACTCCTCCATCACGCGCCGCAGGGCAGAGTTGCTCTTCGGGATGGAGAAGATCTTTTGGACCTTGCTGTCAATGATGCTGAAGTACCTCTGGTCGATCTCCTCGACAAGGGGCAGCGTCCGGTCGCGGCTAATCAACGCCTTCTCGTTATGTGGAGAGATGGTTAGAGCCTTGGAGTACAAGTAGTCAGCCTGAATGATGTCCTTTTCCTCCTCAGAGAAGAGGCCAAACTCGGTCAAGGCATCCACATAATCAGGGTCCATCTTGAGGGCGTGCAAGAAAAGTTTGTGTGCCTTCTCGCGTTTCCCTTGCCTTTTCATCTCCAGCGCTTGGTTCAGGGCTGCTCTGGCTTCTAATCTGACCTCTGAAACAAAGCAAACCCATCAGCTCTTATACAAAGGTATATTCTAGAGCCAAGAAGCCATAGGAGGGAAGCTTATCAAGAGTACATTTTTGTTCATTCTTTTGTATTCTTCTGAGTTGCTTGTCACCCCTCTGAAGAGGAGTCAGGCAAGAGGATGGCAGAAACGCACATGGACAAATCACAGGCTTTGTACGGCATGTCGTAGTTGCCAAATCTTGGCTGCCCAGCTGCGCAAGCACCACACAGTGACGGGGACGGTCAAGATCGCCACAGCACCGTGTTCTAGCATTTGGTGTCCCTCCAGGACAACCCCCTTTTCTACAGTCGCGGATTTCTGGGTCGCTTCAGCCACAGGAGGCAGGAAAGACAGACGGGTTGCAGCAAGACTGCCAGGACCTCTATCCCTGGTTGTCTTCCAAGCTAACCTGTTCCCGCACAGGACTTAGCCCATGCCCGGGAAGTGACGGTGGGCATTAGATGAGCATTTCAAAGACTGTTGCAGGGAGATGGCTGGAATTAGTACGGACACCAAAAGAGCCCTGAAGCTGGCTTGGCCCAAAGACTCATTTCTGGCATCCAGCCCACCAGATACCTCCGGAAAGCCCCAAGCAGGACACGAGGGGTCGGGCATGCGCCTTCGTCTGCGCGGTTCCCAGGCAAGCGGTCACGCTATGCCTTCACAGCTTGGTCCAAACAGATGGACGTGATGCATTTTCAAACACTTTGACCTGATCAGGATTTTCTTTCGAAAAACAGCCTGCCTCTGGTTACAGCAGCAAGGAGTGGGAGGAAAGGCTCTTGCTGCGTGCCAGCAGGGGAGGTCCTGCCCGGCCTGCAGGGGGCCTTGGGCCGGCTGGGGAAAGGCTCCTGCACCCAGCCCGGGCCTGCTGCCCGCGCGCTTGGCCCACACAAATGGAGCAGGGATGTCCAGGGCCCCTGCAGTGGTGTTGCCACCCACAGAGCACAGCGAAGGCATTGCTCCGTGTGGGGGGGCTTACAGAGGCTCGCCTGTGGCCCGTCATTTTCAGCACCTGGCGGAAGCATGTTGTTTCCCCAGACCTTTGACGTCCTGGCCAAACTGGGCTTATGCTACGGATGCGAGCGCTCCAGTTTTACCTCTCTGCCTTTACATGGCACCGTGTGTTTGACTGCGAGCGCTCATGAGCAAACAGCATTTGAGGCCCAGAGAGAAATCTTGGAGAATGATGGAAGGCGTTGGCTTCTCCTCCTATATTCCGGCTTGTTCTATTTCATGCTTTATGTATTAGCAGCCTTTAGGTACCTTGAGAGACCTTGGGCTTCAGCACCAGCAGCTCCAGCCTGCCCGAGGTGACGCTGAGGCCGGTCGTCTGCCCCGTGTAGCTGGTGATCCCCACGTAGCCCAGTCCCAGCTTGCTTTTCAGCAAGGACAAGCCCTTGAGCATGGCATGGTACTGCTCTTCCACCAGCGCCAGTGGGAGCCACGGCACAAGCAGCGCGCCCACGAGGACGACCAGCACCGCCGCCCAGCGGACACGGAGCCACAGGGACACCCATTTCAGCTCTGGCTCCGCCACGGCCACCACAGCTGCCATCGATACGAGATTCATCTGGCCACGGGGCTGGGCAGGAGGCGCATCTCCTCCGAGGCCTCACCTAGGTAAAGAAACTGGTTCAGATAGGGTCTCCCAGAGGACAGCTAGACGGACCCGCAGCCTCGGCCTCCACCTCCGAGTCTTCCCACCTTCCCGGGAGGCTGGACCTTTGGGCTGCAGCGCCCGTCCGCTAGGCCGGGGGGGGGGAGGGTGGGGGGCGCAGCTTGGGGCCTCCAGATGGTTTGGCTGCGGCGCTGCTCTCGGCCGGGGGTGAGCGCCACCGGAAGGGCCCAAGAGGCGCACCCCCGGGCGGGCAGCGAGGAGGAAGCGCCTCTCCCGCATTCCCTCCATGCTGCCCCTCGCCCCGCTTTCCTACGGAAGAGCAGCAGGGCGGCAGCCTGCGCAGGGGGCGGGCGCGGGAGGACCGAGCCCCAGCCGCCTCCGCAACGGCAGGGCTGGCCGTCCGGGTCCCTGCGCGGGTTGCGCGGCTGCCTCGTCCCGGGCGGCCCGCGCGCTGGGATGCAGGAGGCGGCGCGCAGCCGCGAGAGGCGCCCCCCGGCCGGCCGCGCCTCTGCCCCGCGGGGCTCGCCTCGGCGACCCCCGCCCGCGCGGCCCCGCCGCCCGCCTACCTACCTACCTACCTACCTCGCGCCGGCCCGGCCGCAGCTCTGCCCGCATTCGCTTTCACATCCTGCCTCCGCCCGCGGCCACGCCCTTCCTCCCTTCCCCTTCCCCTACTGGCCCCCGCTCACGCCAGTCCCACTCCGCCCCGCCCTCGAGGGCGGGCCTTCTGGCCCCCTGCTCGCCTCGCAGTGGCTCTGCGCCACATCCGTCTTTTTCTCGGCCCCGCCTCCTCGGGAGGAGAATGACGACGCGAAGCTGGCTTCGTGGACGGCTCTGATTGGCCCAGCTGCCCGTCCATCCGCGGCGCCGGCTTTGGCCAATGGCGAGGCCGCGAAGGTGGGGCAAGCGGGCCGGAAGCGCCTGGAGAAACATGGCGGGCTGGTTGCCCCGGAAACGGTGGAGGAGTTTCAGGCCTACCCCAAGGGGCTCAGAGAGCTCGCGGTGTGCGGTGCCTCGGGCGGCGCCCGCTCGAGCCCAAGGTGACAGCTGCCTCGGGCAAGGGGCCCCTCGCCGTCGGAGCTGCAAGCGGCAAGGCGCGCTCGCCTCCCGCGGGCGCCTCTGCAGCTGGTTAAGCAAGCCAAAAAGCGTGGGGCTCGGCCTTTTAACGGGCCTAACGAAAGCGGTCTGGGGAAGGAAGGGTCGAAAAGAAAAGAGAAGAAAAGAAAAAGAGGCAGACTAGACTCCCTGGCTGTTGCTTCCCAAGTCTGTATCTTCCAGATGTGTTGGCCTACAACCCCTACCGACCCTGATCATCTTGGCAGGGGATGGTTGGGTTCTAGCTGTACGTATTCGGAGGGTGCGAGCTTGGCAAATTCTTTGCCATAAAATAATCATGGTGGAATTCTCGGAGTTGTTACACAAAAAAATATCTGCAACTCCAGTTTAAAGAGGCAAAGGATTGTGTTCTTGGAGGGGCAGTGGGGTGTAGTGGTCAGTGCTGGGCCAGCTTGACCATGGAGCAAGTGCACTGGGTGGCTTTGGGCCAGTCACTGGCTTTTTGCCTTACCTGCCTCAAAGGTAAGAAGATACAAAGATCAAAGGGAGGGGGCAGCGTTCCTTGCAAGGGGAAAGAAGACGGGGGCAAATATGTGCATAAATAAGACAATAAAAATAAAAATTGATCGCAGGACGGGCTGCCCTTACAAGCTGAGGTGTAAGAAATGCATGGCTGGTCAGTGGAGTGTATGCCCACTCCTCAAAAGCCCACTCCGCTGATGGGCTTTACATCAGTGTCAGTGGGTTTCATTTCCCTGCCGGTTGGACTCACTGCTGAATATGGGATGGCCTTGCCGCCCTCCCTTCGGGATGGAAAGTTGGCAGGGAGCAAGGCTGGCTGCCAGGAGGGGCCTGGGCACCCCATATTTAAGGGGCCTCTTAAAAAGCCAGCCTTGGGTGCTGCGGGGCAAATCTGAAGGGGCTGCACTGCTCTTTCCTGCCTGCAGGGGGCAGCAAGTCATTTGAAATCGTTGCAGCTTGGCTTGTTGAAGCAAATCCAGGCTAAAAAACCTCTTTTTGACTCTGTCGGTTATGGATTTTGACACTGGAGTAATCATGAAAAATGGGATTTGGGAGAACGGTGCTTTCTCAGTGCAGGTGCAGCTGGAAGGGAGCTTCTAAGGCAGCCGGGCCACGGATCCTTGGATTAAACAGAATGGAAAGAATTGGATGGAGTGCGAGAGAATCCCTCCCAATAAATTTGCCACGTCTGCACTGTGGCCGCAGTAAATGTTTTGGATCACATCCCCCATCAGCCCCAGGGAGAGGGCCAATGGGATTGTTGTTCAAAACATCAGGAGGCCACCGGGTTGGTTGGAAAAGGGGATGCTCTCTGATATTTCATCATGACCTCTGAGAACTATTTGCTCACTTGAGTGGGGCGTATTCGAACGGGTCTGAAATGGGAATTTCTGTACAGCAAGGCAGAACGTGTTCCGGTATTTCTGCCAGGAACTCTTCAAGGGAAAGTCCCCCTTGGTTGTTGGCTCTGGCTGGGCACGATGGGGCTGGGCACGAGGCTCTTGGGGCCAGGCCCCCTCCCTGAGTGGGTCCTTTGCATCAAGCAAGGCAGGAGGTTCACAAGCTTTGAAAGGGCAGCTGGAGAGGCGCCACCAGCAAGTGTGGGATGCGGGCCCTGACGGCCGCACATGGATGCCAAGGCGGGTGCCAGTCCTCAGCCTGTGGCTGCAAGGGGCTATTCTGAGCCCTTGGTTGCACTGAAGCTTGCTGGTTTTGGGCTAGTTGGTGAAACCCTGGTCTGGTCCCTAGACTGAATTGGGGGATCTGCTGAGGGATGAAGGACCGAATTGATGTGTAAAAAATCCGACAGCTTTCGAAAGCAGGTGTGCTGGCCAGGGGGAGCGTGTTTTGCTTCAGCCTCCCACCTGCTCTCTTGGGTGAGCAAAAACCTGTGTTTGGATGGGCTGAGTGTGTCCTGAAGCCCAACCGGACGAGTATTAGTTGGGACTGAATCAGTCCACGCTTTATTCCTGAATATTCTATTATCTGAAGAAGAGCCGCACTTGGCAGCGAAAAGGGTGCAGTGGGGAGATCTCAAGAACGGTGAGGATATATTTATGCTGAGCTGGTTCCCAAAGACGTTTGAAGGTGCAGATTTTTCCTCCACAAAGGAAATCAGCAAGGAAGATAGAGAAGCAACATTTGGATCTGCTTTGCTCTCTTCTGGCTTCCTCAGATATCGATTGGATGATTTCAATAATTGATCCACTTGCTCTTTGTAGGAGAAAGCTGCTCCCGTGCGCTTGCCCTTGCCTTGAGGTGTGGGAGAGTTGGAAGAGGCAGTGTGGTTTGTTTTTGTGGACAAATCTAGTGACCTTTCATTTTCCTGCTTCCTGGACTGTCGCCCCCCCCCCCCCCACACCCATGATTCGGTGGTCCCTCTGCGCTGGGCTGGATTCTGCAAAGCAGGGAATGGCTTTTCTCAACCAAGTCTGTTCCCTGCTGTGATGCAGGCAATGTTGGGGTTGGGTTTTGCAAAAGATTTATTCCTGCTGGAGATGAGAACTGCTGGAATTGGTTTGGTGGTTTGGATTGACTCGGGGCACGGCTTTGGCGTGATGAGCAGCTGCCCGTCCGAGGTTGTCCCTCGGCCTGGGTGCAGGAGAGGGTTCATCCTGCCGTTGTGTGGTGCGACATCCTCCTGGCCTCGGCCACGATGCCTTCCTCAAGCCGTTGCAGCAAGGAGAGGCAGCCAGTCCAGTGCCTCGGCCACGGAGCTGCCGGGCATGAAAGGCCTCCTGGGCGGCAGGCCGGGAGGCCGCCCCACCGAGCTCAGATTTACTGCATGTCGGGCGCAGGAAGCGCCGTTCGCCAATAGATCACTGCACTCTTCACTGGCTCGGCAATCCATCAGAGAGCAGCTCGCTCCCTGGGCACCCTCCCCTGTCACTCCAGAATTATAGATCCGCTTGGTGGGGAATGGAAAAAATGTTTTGTTTGCTGCTGGGGCCAGAGAAATGTGAAGCTGAACAGAGATGCTCTCCCTTCCTACCCTCCCCTGCACGGGATCAGAAGTGGCAGCGCGTTGCAGCTTAAAGCCCTTGTGGCCTTTTAGCTTCTTAGAGCGAAAGAAGTGAGTGCGCAGAAGCTGGGAAGGCACTCGGGGCCTGGCGGGCGGAGGGAGGGAGCCGAGGCCAGCCAGGAGCTGGTGTCGTGGCCTTGGGGGCCCTCGAGGGCAGTGACGTTCCTCTGAAGTCGTGGGCCGGCTGCACGAGAGACATGTGCTCAGCCTTCCCGGCCAGAGGCCAGACTCCAAGCATTCCAGCACCTCGGGCCGGACTCCTGCCAACGGAAGATGGAAGCTGGCAGGCGGTGCTGGACCCGATCCAGGGTCTTTGCAGGGCTGAAGGCTGCACCTTGGAGTAGCCCATCTCCTGGAAACTCCTCCGCTGCCTCCTCCGGGATTTTGCTGCAGTGCCGGCTTCAAAGCAGCACAATTTACGGGGGCAGCAGCCAGTTTCTTGCTGGAGGTGTGTAGAACTCCATGCCTGGTAAAATATGACGTTTTGTCATAAATTACCTTTTGGCTACGGGTGCCGCTGGTTATAAAGAGAATGCAATTGTTCTCTTTGCCTGTCCCAAGACAACCCCGCCTTTTTCTCCAGATGTCTGGCTGGCAAAGCAAATGAGGCTTTTGAGAAGCACAGGTGTCTTGCTTTCAACCAGAAAGCTCTTATAACTCAATTTGTCCCCCTGCCCCCCAAGGACCAATATATCTATAATACACAGTAAGAAATGGAGATACATTATTGTCTTGCAAGCAGTCCCTGAATTTTGCCCCAACTGTGTAACTCGGCATCCAAGATCAATTCGAGAAGCAAAACGTAACGAGCGCCCGGTCGTCCAGATACACTTCATTTTGTTCCTCTCGTGGCCTGGTGTGCCTGCGCTGAATTTCCTTTCCACGGTCTTCTTTCTGCCCAACGCACCGCGACTGGGCCGCTCATGTGCTCTTCAAAGCTAGTAAATGGCACAACCACTGCCAACTCGCAAGCGGCCGTGGATTTCCGAGTGCTCCCAGAAATCAGGGCATTAAAAAACGAAAAGGTGGAAAGCGCGGGTGTGGACTGCGGTTATTTGCTGTTTTAAAAACCAAGAATGGCAGTTCTTCAGTTGTTCAGGTACAGAAACTCTATTCAAAATCCCATTCAGCTTCCGTCAAGTCGGTGAGAGAAAGGGAAGGACACTCTGCGCCAAGCAAACAAGCGAGCATTTGGAGCGAAGGCCCTTCCTGCCCTCCTGGACTAGACCGCTGGCACCCTCTCCTGGCCGCCTGCTCGCTTTGCCCCACCGGCCGTATTCCCCGGCTGCCCTTCCGGGGTGCGTGGCCCCTTGCACAAATGCCTCTCTCCCCGGAGCACCTCGGCCTCAAGGCCTCTCAGGGCTGCGTCTCAAAGGGAGCGCCAGAGGGGCTCCCGGCTCTCAGCACAGTGGGGCGGAGGCGGGAGGGGGGCAGGCGGCCGGCTCCCTCCTTCCATTCGAAAACCATCTGTTCCTCCCCGGCCCGCTGCTGGGCTCCATTGCCGCTCTCATTTTCAGACAAAGCG